AGCCCCGGCAGTACCAACACAAACAGGAACACGAGGCTGATCAGTGGGCTGGGCTGGGGGGCCACGGCTCTGCTCTCCTTTGGTGGCAACTCAAAGGGGCTCGTTAACCCCGGCCTGCAGCACCCCGATGGCCACACTGCCATCAGCCTTCCCCTCCCTGTCCCAACACCGCCCAGCAGCGCCATCAGCAGCACTGCCACGTGCCTCTCAAAGGGACACCACGGCTGTTGCACAGCAGAAGGAACCGGTCCCAGACAATCCCAGCCCCTCCCTGTCCATCCGCTGCTCACCAGTCCCTTCCATTTTGATACCTTGCGCCAAAAGGTTAAAAAAGAAGAATCGATAAGTTGTGACATCTCAAATTCCTGCTGGGATTTAAATCACTCGCCACAATGACAGTCACCTCCCACAGATAAACAGTTCCAGCTAGAAATAGGATTAGGTGCTAGGAAAAATGCATGTGTGCTGCCATGGACCCAGCGGTCCTAATAGGATTCACTGAGAACACAACCTATCAGAAACATGACCTGGGGTGTATTTGAAAATGTAGGCTGATTAAAAAAAGTAATTTGAATCTTTGCTAGTGACCTTACTAATTAATTCCACACTGTTTCCCATTCTCTGTGCTGCAGGTTGGAGCTGACCTGTTATCAGTCTGCTGTATAATAAGCTATGGCAAACTACAAAGCTTTTACAACAGCAAAGCAACATCATGCTTTCAGATAAGTTTTATAGCAAAAAACTCCTCCTTTTCAAAGCCTTAGTAATACCTATCTCTTTTACAAACTTTTCCTGTATTATTACAGACTTTTTATATTCAAAATAAGTTCCAAGGATTTCTTTCGTGGACTATGTACATAAGTGCAAAAAAGGTGTGTCTCACACATTCGTACACTAACTGAATCAGTTTAACTGCAGCATATTTGTATCTTCAACACTGTTACGGGGTCATTCCACAATATTTTTTTTTCTTATGTACAGTTTTTGCTAATATAAATTAGTATTAAAATAGTTATATGCGTAATTATTTAGCCCTGATCATAACGTAATCATGTGAGTGCTCAATTTCTGGAGAAAAGAAAATTGCAGGCAAAGCTACAGTACTGAAACGGATTAATTCTGAATTCCCACTGTGTGAATGAATGTGAAATGAAAGCAAGACCGGTCACTATGTCGTAAATACAGGCTGCCATGTTTCTGAAGTGAAAATACTGTGGAATAACCCTTGCCACACAACAATTTCTACAAGCTATAAAACCTGACTCTAAATCCATGTGTTGTAAACTTCTTGACTGAAAAAGTGACCTTAAAGACACAAATTCAGCGTTCACATGGGACTTTGGGATTTTAAAAATATTCAATCATATCTTTATCTGACAGTATCGAACTGTACCTTTAACAAGCTCATACTGTTACACATCACTTTTAATTTACATGTGAAAATTTCACAAATAATGTATACAAAGGTAGCCATGTTGTAGTTTTGTTGCCATAGCAACAACAACTTAATATAATTAGTTAACAATGAATCTATCATTGTAGGAGTTACATACAAAGTTAATTTTGTTCTTAAACTGTAAACTATACAAACTAGTTATGGACTGTATTCTATACCTTACCATGCTTCAGTGTTGGTTTAGAATATAACTAAATGGGCTGAATACATGTATTAAAAATTTTAAACTTTCTCTAACTCTCCTTCAAAATTAAATTCATTAGTTACTAAAGATATCAAAAAAAGCAATAATGAAAACCTTAAAAACTAATGGTAGAGAAATGAAAATATATGACATGAATTAATGCGTTGTAGCCTAGTAACAATGTGTTGTAGCTCTATTTACATTTGGATTAGGCTATCAACTATTTTTTTTTAAAAGTTATTACAGTCTTAAACATACAGTATATACTCTAAGGCCTTCAACAGGCACATGGTAAAATCAGGTCAATATCAAACTAAATCCATTCAACAGGAATGGGAAATTAGATTTTCCTCATAAATTTCACCTTTTTCAATTTTCATGTCTGTGAAATGTACAAGGGATAAACAAAACGAGGACTCCAGTTTCTCAATCGCTGTGTACCCACGTGTCCTAGAGCTACTCTACCGCGCCAGCCGCGGCCCGCAGGGGACAATCTCGACATCTCGCCGGCACACGCGTCTCCTCCTCCGGCCACTTGCGCCCACGACACACACCCATCTCCAGCGCCGCCTCCGTGGGGGTCCCGGCTCCGGCAGGATGTCCACCGGCACACCCGCCGGGAGGACCCACCGTGGGAACCCGGAATACCCGTGGTCGGCGGCCAGCCCGGCCGTGCTGCCCTTCGGGAACACTCCGAGCGTGGTGTGGGACAGCGGGGAAGGATGGCGGGGAGGAAGAGCGCGTCGGAGTGCTCGGGAAGGGGGCCCGCGCGGGCTGGCCGAGGGAGGTAATGGTTTCTAGAACATTGCGATGCAAAAATACACAGTCAAAAATCATCAGCTAGACATTTCCAACTAAAAAACACGGCTGATTGTGAAATCATGTTCCAAATTACTAAAAACACTGTATTTAACAAAAATAATCTTAATAGTTTTATGAATCCATTTTATTTTAAATCCCTCTTTTATTGTCTGCTTATGTTACAGTTTAGTAGTAGTACTTTATATTGAAACTACTAACAACCTTTTTTCGTGAAAATGATCAATCTCAGCTTTCATTTTCCCTCTGCATGACCCGTTTTATCCAAGTTTCAGCATTTCTTGCATATTGTTTGCATAAGGCTGAGAGAAATGGACAAAGAGAAATAACTTTGGATAAATAAAAAATATAGGTTCATGGAAAGTGGGAAGCTTATAAAAATGTCACTAAAATTATATCGATTTAAACAAACTTACATACATCTCTTGTCAAATAAAGGATGATATTCATGCTTTTATGACATTTGTTTAGAGTCACTAACTAGCTCTGTGACTTTGTAATAGTCTATTTAGGAAATTTATAGTCTGGCGACTGTTTTTTTTTTCTTTTCTTTCTTGAACAAAGAAAATTAGAGCAAGTCATTGCACAACTAGTTTAAATAGTGCTACCTCAAAATGGCATTTTTGCCGAGATTGTTTTGAATTTGGTGAAGTTTAGTGCTTCAAGCTTTTCTTTCCTTAAACTCATTTACAAATTAACACTAAATTTGCCAGCAATATAAAAACTGTTGTGGCACCTAATATAACTACCCTGAACATCCCTCATTGGACCTCTTTAATAAAAAATAATCCTTAAACGCGCTTTTTTTTCAGTGCTTTAAATGTGACATGAAAACATGTATTCTAGGTTTACATTCTATGCACATCTATGCCAGATGTTTAAGTCGATAAATAAAACAGGAGGTTACATCAAAGTGTCAAGATATACAAAAATCCATTTAGCACTGAAAAAATTTCAACCTCCTTGAACTCATAAAGCCATACAAGCTTGAATGCATCCTTTCTGGCTTAAGAAGATCAGCTCTGTTCTTTGTTGAGGCACTGGCACAGGTTGTGCAAAACCCATTTTTGATACACAAATAATTTCAAACAGGAAGTACTCAAATCCACTTTTTCCACTAACAATGTTATGGTTTTGGGAAACAGAAACTCAGTGGTGAAAAGAACAGGTATGTGGTCGCCAATACAAATGAGAGTCACTGATTTCAGGCTGCTTGTGAGCGCAGATGACTGGGGAACATCCACGGACACAAGCGACTGTCAAAACACTGGGTCCAAAAGCAGGTCTTGGGGAATGTTTTCCCTCCACCCTCTCTTAGAGTTTGGTTCAAAGTCTGATGAAGTGAACAGAGAGATTCCTTCTGGCTCAAGGCCTTTTCGAGCTGGGCTCTTCAAAGGTTCATGCTACGAACGAGTCTCCACGGGCAGATAGTCAGAGCCTGCTCTGGGGCACACAGGCTGTGCCCTAAATGGCCCTCCATCACTTGTGGCCCGTGGAGATTCATATCTAGCAAACTACCTGAGCTCACACTGGAGGAGACGGGGCAAGGAAAATCTCTAACCAGGACAAACAATTTGAAAAAGAGAAGAAAATGTGGTTGATAGAATTTGGCACTCTACAGGATCACTGTGAGCTCAGGGTGGGCGGCCCTCCGAACACTGGGAGTTGGCCTCTTGCTTGGTTTCAATGACAATTCTCTTTCTCCTTGCATGGAGTCTGTGGATTTACAGCAGCAAATCCATCCCTTCCATAATGCCAATGATACTGTAGAGCTGTGACAGGGACGAATTTGGTGGTATCCTCAACCAAAATGCATTCTGCAGCCAGACTGTTCAGCAACGCAGCATAACGACAGGTTGGGCTGTCCAGGGTGCATGGGCTGAAATGGTTTAATTCGTGCGTATGAAAAGGAGGTATTGAGAACTAGCCCTTGTTGTGCAGCAAACATTGCTCTTGATCAAGTAGAAGGTGCCAAAATATATCCACTGACCTACAGGAGCTCCATTAAGACAAATGTTTATCTACAGCAGAAAGCTTACGCCAAGCTTTTTCCTGCTTTGTTACTGCTGTGTTTTCTTTAAAGGGCCAGAGATCGGGGGGGAAAAAATATCATCCACTTATGAAAAAGGGTAATTAAATAAATGCTGCATGCTGACAAAATTTGAAGAAGAGACACATGAGATTTCAGGCCGAAATGTTTCAGCACGCTTGGCAGAGACAAGCCCCAGGGCTCAGTACTGCCCAGTGTGGGCTGAGCTGAGGCTCTGGGCCCTCTCCAGCTAATGGGTGGCATCTGCTCCTCTCCAATGCAATGAGGTTTTGCCCAACTGAAGCTGTCTCACATCACCACCTTTGTTTGTTTTGACTGCACCATGAGAACAGCGAGAGAGATTGTGCGCCGTGTTCAGCTGAGAATGCACTTCAATGGACAACAGAGCTGCAGAAATCCCTTGATGCTTTCCCCTGTCTGAGCAAATTGTTCCTGCCCCCTTACTGAGCCTGGGGTTTTGGTTTTTTTCTTTTGTTTCCCCCCCCCCCCAAAAAAGTTTCCAGAATCAGCTCATTGTACTGAAAGGAATACCCTGAGCTGGACTAAAATGACAGCTGTCCTTCTATATCACTTGTACTAAAAATTTGGAGACTATCTGAAGGCAAATTTTAAATGATAAAAGGAACATTTAACACAAGCAACTTTAGCTGACATTAACAGCAAAATCCAGCAAAGGGCAGAACATTCCTGTGTCGTGTTTTTCAAGCACATAATTCCTGTTTCCCACAATAACATTTTTAGTAAAAAACAAACAAAACCCCATAAAACCTACAGTATATGAAAACTTAAGACATAACAATAATGAAAAATGGTATTGAGTATACTTGATAATGATGTACACTTTAAAACAAATCAATAGACTATGATGTAAACAAAACAGTAAGATAACACTTTAAAAACAAGACAAACATTTATCCATCGATAGTATACAGTAAACCAACAGTCCTCTGTGCAGATGCACTTATCAGGATGGTAGTCATAAAATGATTAAGTGTGTTAAAGTAATGTGTTATAAAAGTCTATTATAATTTCCTACTTGTATATCTCATATAACAGAGCGCTGTTTGTTAATTGTTTCTATAGTGCTTTTTTTTTTTTTTCTTTTTTTTTTTTTGACATTCCCATTGATCAGTTTTTGGTTAACATGTAGGCTGCAACAGGCTTACTGTAGAGGTGGTAGAGAACGATAGAGGGAGGAGGGGATATATACAGAAAGGCCATGCGCAGCTTCCCACCAAGAAGTCCTGGTGCTCCATAATTTTACTGTTCAGAATTTCAACATGGTCTGCTGCAGGAAAAAGAAAAAACAACAACAGAGAAAGAATAAGAAGTCAATACATATATATTTTAAGTGCCATTCTAAGAAGATACATTTACATCCTCACTGCAATGCCCAAGAGGTTGTCATTAGCATGTTGCAGAGAGAAAACATTTTAATGCATTAATTTTCTGAGGTAGGGTGAAATTGCTATTAACACACTTGGCATCCTCTTAAATCTGCAGTTAGGGCTTTCCCTTTCCTATGCACTTTACAACACTGAGAAGACAAACAGTGAAAGAGGGAGGTGGGCAAAAAATAGCCTGATTTTTGGACAGGATGCCGGGTACAGAGTAACTAAAGAGAGGGCTGAAGGAATCCCTGATCCCTGTTAGCTCTTGTTTCCTTCAGACAGTCACATTAAATCTGATCCTAAGGAGCCATGAGTCAAAGGCAAACTGAGCCCAGAAACAAAACACAGACACAGAAATCCTGTGCTCAGGGGACCCTCTTCTGGGAGCAAATGGTCTCTCTTGGGATGTACTTGTGAAAATACTTCCCTGAAAGAACCAACACTTGTCTGCTGCAGAGCTACGCTAGCCAGCCTGGACGAAACAATCTGTCCTCAAGAAACGGGCCACTTCTAGTTTATGCACACACACAGGTGGTAACAATGCTACTGGGAATGGGATCAAAACATGCTGCTGACAATGGTCACTGGTAGGTCTGTAAGCACTGGGGATATTTGGGACCATAGCCCATTTCTACAGCCTCCAACAGTGGTTTATGTCCCACAGCTGTGAGGTGATAAGAGGACAACAAGTACTTCTGGCAGAGCCGTGACTCACACACCTGCTTACACTGCCCTTGTGAGGAACAGGGTCCTTGTCTGACCCAGACCCATGATGTCCAGTGGCCTGATTCCAAAGAAATCCCGTAAAATTCAGTATGTTAACCCTACTTATTCAAGCAAAGGTTTTTCACAATCCTTAACAGCATGGCTGATAGCTTGTTTGTCAGACTGTGCCATGCTCCCTACTGACTAAACAAATATAACCCAAGGATGTTCCCTGCCTAATCTGAAATCTCTATTGACAGTGTGAGTTTAAGCACACACACACATAATAGTGAAAAGAATTCAGGAAAAAGAAAAAAAAAAAAGAAGTTTCCTGAAATAAATGCTGAAAGCAATCTTGAAGAGTTTAAAAATTAGGCTCTTCCAATGCAAATGATCTTCTTATCAGGTGGAATAAACTGTTTTACGTGTGTTACGGAAATGGGTCCACACATCAGGTGTCACATCTGTCTGTCTGTTGTTTGGAAGAGCCCCACACTGTACAAGGAACATTTTCACTAAGGGGATAGCTTGGTGTCATCCCTACATGAGCAGGGATCCATGGGCACAATTAGCAGGTCAGGTACATGCGGTACTTAATTAAGGTCAGCAGAGATAAGGCTACCACTGAGAAAAGTAACTTCTGTTGATTGCTAATAGATATCATTACAGAATTGCTAGCCAAATTAATTTCCAGCATTTAAGTACTTGCCTGTAGTATGTGACCTAAGGACGAAATGGGTTGCATATCTGTGTATATTAAATGGCCTGCTTTGAGAAAATCTGGTGACCTCTTGTTGAATTGGCTGAACTGCTTTTTGCTCTCTTGGGGTAAAAAAATACAGTGATGAACAGAAACTCTCAAAGGATTTTATCTCATGAGTATCAGCTAAAACTCACAAAGAAAAGCAATGGAAAAATGACACTGCTGCTATGGCTGTGAAATAAGGTCAAAGGACAAACCACTCATTCTCATCATTCTCACTCAGAGGAAACTAGCAGCCTAGGGAAGCCCAGGATCTGCAAGCAGGATGAAGACTTGCTTCTGACATCCATCCTGGTCTTAAACCCACCATGTGCCTCACTGCAGCTGAACAGCAGAGCTCTGCTCAGGCCAAGCCAACCTTGCAGATGCACAGCAACTGCTGCCGACCCAATCCTGCTTACCCCAGGAAAGGAAATGTCACTTTTCAGCTGACTCATTACCAGAGCAGGCTCTGCCACCAACACTGCAAATCCCCGAGGCATCTGCAGGCAGCTGGGAGCTGTGCAGAGCAAGAGCAACCTGTAAACACAGCCGCTGGACTCGGGGGATGCACTGAGGGAGGCTGTGAACACCACAAAACAGGTATTTCAGACACAAGGAAACACTGCTCATTATAAACCATAGGGCTGGTCTGTATTGGCGTTGCAGCTGTTGAATTCCTGTTGAGTCAGCAGAGCGTGAAGACACTTGGGGTGCCATGGGCTCAGTCCCTCTGCCTGAGCCAGCCCCACTTTGGGGGACGCAGTGCCCGTGTACAAAGCAATCCACCATAAAGAGAAATACCAAAAAGGAACTTACTGTTCTATCGGGAACTTCTACATCTGTGAAACAAACATGCTGCTACTCAGTTCATCTACTGATAACTGGGATATCTACAGCAAAAAAAAACCAAAGAACACAACACATTAAAACATTGCCTTGAGATTAGGCTGTTCATTCTCTCTTCAGTATCAAGTTAGCAAGTACATCAGTGTCTTATAAAACAGGATTCATTCCCAAAAAGTCTTTATTTTGCTACACATTTAAGTACAACGTAGCTGCACCACTTCTGATGCCCTGTGAAGTACATGGTGATTGTACCGAGATTTTGACTCCATAGACTACAAGTAAGATAGAAATGCCCTTAAACTATCTGGCTGAAACAGGACTCATACAGTCACAGAGCAACACTTCACAGGAATTTCTGCTTTCTTCTCATGACCAATACGAGTCTGAGTAAGACCTGCTCTGCCTGAAAGTAACAACAAAGCACGGACAAAGACTGGCAATTCCTACTCTAAGCAGAAATGCACTGCCTAGGACTTACACAAGCAAAACTCAAACTGAAATCCTCGTAACCACATGCTAGCAAAAGACTAGAGGATGCCCCTGGAGATACTACTGGCATTCAGCGCGGCTGAGAGCCTCCTACAGAGCAAAGTGACACCCCGATTCCTTTGCAATAGCTCTAAACCTGAGAGCATAACAAATAAAAATGCTAGAGTAAGTACTGGGGAAAAATAAACAGAAGTGTTTGAAATGCCTCTGGTCTAACTGGGAAAAAGTTGTGGCACACCAAATTGTCAGGAAGCATCACTAGGACAAGTTGTGTATAAACAGTTCAGGACTGGTGCGGAAGCAGCCATCACACTCAGTATCTTCAGAGGAAAGTTTTGGAAAGAATTATGGCTTGGCAGACATGCATGGAATCCTGTACACTTATGGCAGTGCTACGACAGCACGTACTGCACATCCAGAGTCATTTCTGTAGGGATGGGTGACATGCTACTGGTGTAAAAAAACTTTAGACTTCACAACCTCATTCCCTCATTTTTTTGTTTTGGTTGTTTGGGGATTTTTTGGTAGTTACTAGAATCCAATTTTGTAGTGGGGAAAGGCCACTTTGTGTTTCCACTTCTACTTTCCAGCCAGGAGAGGACATGCCAAAATACCACAGGGAAGGATGCTCGGGGTGGTATTTCTGCTTGAGACTGAAAGCAGAAGTGCTGCAGGTCTCGCGACAGTTACGCTCGGGAGTTTTACAGCCCACGTTTTGAGGGCCTGGGGGGGAGGTTATGCTTTCGGAGAAAAGCCTGCACCCCTGCCAATCGCCCATCCCTACGCTCCGGCTGGGCTTGCTGCCCATCCCACACACAGCAGGACCGGCTCTTGACCGATCCCCAGACACACACACGCGCACACGCTGCCTCTGCACACCCGAGCCTGCGCCGAGCGGGTCGGGACGATGCTCGACCCCGCACGGGATCCAGCCCTCGCCCGGTCCTCGAGATCTGAACACGTGAAAGAAAGCCATTGAAAGGGCCAAACCTGATTGGCGGTAGCTGTTGCAGCGAAGGGGACGCTGGTGGCAGGAGTTGTTGCTGCAGACACAGTGGTGGGCGTAGCACCGTGCATCATGGGCACTTTCGGAAGGGAACCATGGAAGCGACATACGGGAGGGTGGAGCGTATATATATTTTGTTTGTTTGTTTTTATGTAACCATGGCAACATGTGGTGGATTTGGGGGCGTGGCAGGAATCACAGCAACAAGCCATGTGACATCGTCATGAAGGACACATCGGGGCGCAGCATGCAATCACAGTGCAAAGCAAGACAGCGTTGGGAAAAAAAATAAGAGAGAAGGGGAAAAGCCAATTACAATTATAATTAAGGAAAAAACCAAAACATTCTCAACACTTAGTACATTTATAAGCAGAACAATGATGTATTAGACTCCGAGGGCCAAATTTCCAAAGGGGGGAGAGGATGGGTGTGCTAGCAAAAGCCCACGTCAGCTCGCACCCGTGGGGAGTTAGACACAGCCAGTGCACGTTCCTTTGGGTGGGGACATTTTGGCAAGCGCACCCTCCCGCCCGCCTGGGAAAGCTTGTCCCCTTCCCTCCCCACCCCATCCCCGCCAGCAACCAGAGGTACATGATGCACTTTGCAGTGGCTGCCGCAGCCCTTTCACCAGGTTTTCTCGTCTCTCTCTAGCGGGGACGTGTTTCAGCACAGGACAGAGCTGGAGGCACGGCAAACGAGTGGCTGGCAGCCCGAGCTCTCTCTGTACATATTTCAGCATGCTCCCTTTCCACCCTAATTCCAGAGGATTTGGCAAAACTCCCCTCTTGCGGGGTCGGGGGGTGGGGGATGGAGAGGGGATGGGACCGAGAGGGAAGAATACACAAATGCATCTGAACAGCTACAGTTTGCAGGAAGAGCATCCAAAAGGACAACACGGCAGCAGGGAGCTCGGCAACCTCCTGAAGCTGCGCGTCCCGCGGAGCACAATACTGGAGGGGGATGCTCTGGTGCACACACGGGCATCCCCCAAACCCTGGGGGGATTTTGCTGGGCCGAGGCACCCGCAGGAAGGCCCAGCCATCCCCACAAACATGCGGTGGGGAAGCAGACTCGCCTTCCCCTCCACCCCAGCAGGCACGTCCAGCCCCAGCAGGGAAGGAACATGTGCCTGTGGGCTGGGCACACTCCGGCTGTGAGATGTTAGAGCGTGTGGGTTGGGGTTTCCTACAGACAGAGGTGTGTTTGAAGGACTCAGCTCCCCGTCATGCAAGCGGTGTGTCCTCCCTGTGCTGATAGGAATGGGGAGGTTCAAGAGCAGAGTGCTTAGTCAGTCATGCCAAAGCTTTCAGACCTGCTCTTGGAAAGCCTTGCACCCTCCCCTCCTGCTCCCACCTCTCTCCCTCTGGCTGAAGCGGGCACACACCTGGATGCTAGGAGTCTTGTATAACCTTGGCTGGAGGATGAAAGCTCAGCTTTCACCTGCTCTGCTGTGCCCAGCAGCTGTAGACAGAGGGGAAAGTCCTCAAAGGCCTGCACAGGTTTCAGTAAGACCCAGATGCTGAGCCTGAACACAGTGGTTCCTGCAGCACTAAGTAGCACGTTCTCAGCCCTGTCACCTCATTGCATCCCACGTGCACATACAGCGGTGCCTCCCTACCATCCCCTGTGCCTGCACACCTGACACTACCCTACAGAGATGACTCTTCAGCCAGTCCACGGTCCAAGCCCTGCTTCTCTCACTGTACAAGCAGTGCCCTGCTCTAACAGAGGGGCTGACCCCAGATGTGTTCCTCCTTAGCACCTTTGTTAAACAAATGTCCTCCAAAGGACAACCAAAAATCCAAACTCTAATCTGCCTGATGCAAAAAAAACCCCAAAAAACCAAACCAACAGGATCCTCCCATTGCTATTTCCTTTTGTCAGATGACTTAAATGGGTTGTAAAAACATTTTAAGTGACAAATTTTTGTCTCTGCAGCAAAACTAAATAGGGGTGGGAACACACCACCTTGGATTCTCTTATTATAATTCACATAAACACTGCACTGCACAGAAATTAAAGGAATACAACCATTTAAGCCTCAAAGAAGACAGTAGATAGACAGTCACACCACTCAGCCACCCAGGTTCTCACTGATGCATACTAACTTGCAGTCTCTTTCAGATTAAGAAAAGTTGAGAAGTTTGTGTAGAAAAACCTACCAACGCTTGCAGTGGGTGTCATGCACAGAACTGACCCTGCACACCATGCATTGAAGCGTGGAAAGATGAACAAAAGGGATATTTCATTAGTGAAGCTTCAGTGTTAGATATCACTTTTAACTAAAAAGCAGGTATTCTCTTTGCAGCATTCAGTATTTAAGCACATGCAAACAGATTCTGCATATTGGTACATAAATAGTTTAAACTCAGTTTTAAGAGATCATAGCAAACCAAATTAATTCTTTAATTCTTGGGTAGTAGGGAATATACTTCTTCTCCCACCTTGGTATCAAATAATATGACTGATCCCAGAAATCAGGGTTGTTTGGGTTTTTTTGGTGTTGGGTACGCTGACTTCTTTCTGATCACGTCAGCAGAAAACAAACTGCCCTTAGAGGAATGTCATACTCGTGTTAAAACTGACTTTCCAAAAGCAATTTACTCCTGCGAGCAGGGGACTGGGATTCAAAGTCTCTAGTTTAAGCTGAAAAAGGCGTATTTTTTCTGGACTTGAAACAATTGTAGTCATGATGCCATTTTCAGCAGACACCCCGAATTCTCCCCCCATGGCAACCCACCATGCTGATCTCTCAATAACTGAACAGGAGATACTAAGAAAAGCAACAGCTCGTTTCCCCTCCCCACAGTGAAAGCTGCGATGTGCCACCCCTCTGCTTTGCCTTCCAGAGCACTGCAAAGGCTGAGCCCAGACCTGCAGCCTGATGCGTAACGTAAATTCAGAGACCCGGTCTCTGACTGGAAATCTGCTGCTCTGCCCAGCGTTAATGACCTCAAGAGAGAGCAGGTGCCTGCAAGCAGACCTGTTACACATCAGCCCTGCGCGTAATTTCATTGCCATGACACAGGGCACCCCAGCACGGCGAGCGCCGGGCAAAGCTGATTTATGGCGCTCGCATCAGAAATGCACGTCCTCATGTCAGCTTTGGCAACTGCGACCTCGAGGAAGAGGAGCCTGCAGCCAGCTGGGGGCCTTGGCATTCTCAAAGGTGCCACACAACAGAGCTGTGGTAAGGTCAGCTCAGCCCATCCCCTTCAACAGCACTTTGCAGAGCACAAGGTAGGAGGCTACTGCTCAAGTCCCTTCCTCCATCTTTTCATATGAGAATCTACTTCCCCGGAAGAACAATTTGGCAGCTGCTGAGTTCTGAGTGTCTCCAAGCCTTCTCAAAACAGAAAGGCCACACGAGCACAGGGCTTAGGTCCCCAGTCCACCTGAGAGTTTGGTCTCAGGATAGGACTGTCCCTAAAGCTTTTCCCCTGACCCCAAGGAACAGCAAGGCCAAGGTCCAGGTCCATTGTGTGTTCACCTCCAGGGGTCAGCCCAGAGAACCACTTTATATATTTTTGTAAATATCATCTGGCAAGTAAATACAGCATTAAACAATAAAAACATTGGGCATTAATTTTCTCATGATGCTCTGAATGATAATAATGATACTAAAACACGAGCTCTCAGCTCTGGAATGTTCCTAATTCAGCCACTTACAATGCTTACTACTCTAAGCAGGTTTTGGTTTTCATTTGGTTGCAGTGAGCAGATGTTAATTGGCCAGTCAGCAGTCAGTCACATCTGCCACTTTAATATTTCCAGTCCTATACGAATTACTGAACTGCATCTTTCAATTTTACTCTGAGACCTTAAAGGTACAGTAAAAGCTGGGAGTTAAATTGCTTTTAAAAAGCTTAGGGTATCGTACTGGTCAAAAGACAAGCAAGAGGGAAATATATGCCTTTAAAGAGGATTATGTAATTTGTATTTACTAAAGACGAACCGTCCCCTCTATAAACATCACAGCTGCTGGAATATGTAGGTCACTGAGACAGAAGCTCATGAAGATACCTGCAGCTTCAAGAGAGCAGGTACAGAGGTCTGTAAGACATTTTAATGAGTGCGTAAGAGCGCTAAGCAAGAGTTAAAGAATTAATTTGGGATTAACCAGTTGAACCATAAGGAAGAGAAACAGAAAGTATGAATTCAGAAAAACATGCAGACATTTTTCTTAGTTTGACTGCTTAAAAAAACCCCAAACCACACAAAAAATGCTAAGAAGGGATTTTTACAAGTGAAAAGCTCTGAATTGTAGTAGGTGAAGGGAAAAAAAAGGTCAAACAGATGTTAATTTTTCATCCATTTTTAACATGAAACTACACACCAATACTCTTTTGCTAAGGACTCTTACAAATCTGCTCATTAGCTGAACACTGAGGTCATAAAATAAACAACCATGATGGTGGGGAAAGCAAGGAGACGCTTACCTGTGGGGATGAATGTAGGCTGTTGCAACTGCATGTTGGCTAGAGCCTGTTGGTAGTGGAAAACGCTTGGGTTAAAGACTGTGGTGGCACCATTGTTTTTTTCAAGTGCTGGCCTCTTTGGTAAAGGTTGAAGTGCACCAGGCGGCAGGGCCTGTGGATAAGGGATCATTAGAGACAAGCGGAGTAAATAAAGGGGCCCAGATGTAGGTCAAGCATGCAATAAATAATAGGGGGTCTTGGCTGCAAATCACCTGCAACTGTGATCAACTTAGCGAGACAGGGAAGAGAAGAGCAGCTAAGTCACAGTACAAGTAGTAGGTGAAACAACAGCTTTACTAGATAAGCAGTTAGTAAATGCACCAGGAGAAGGGGGAGAGTCCAGAAGGAGCAGGGATGCTAACAAGCTTTTCAGCAGGACTGACTTGGGCACAGAGGTAAAAAAAGGCACAAGGAGAAGGAAGGGGAGAGCTGATCACCTGGGCAGGATGCTACAAAGAGCAGTTGCAGGCAACAAGCATTAAGAAACCCAAAACAAACAGGTAAGAAAAATATAGTAGATGACTACTTTAAAACAATAAGATTAGCGTAAGCAACAAATGCCATGGAAAAAAGGGGAAGTTTGCCTCTAGTTCAACACCTGCCTACATGTATGTGTGCATATGGGGAAATGTACACACTGTGTGCAGCCAATCCAAGTGTCCAGGTGGTAAAGCAGTAGCTGTTGCCAATTATACATATAACATTACATTTACTGTGAAATGCTTTTCCACTTGTTAGTAGAGAGGCTGAGCAACATGGTCAAGACCAGGTCTGATTCTCCACTGCTCACACCAACAGCACAGCCACCACCAGCACATTTTAAACTGCCCTCACTTTCTAGAAGGTGGCCTCCATCAGTCAAATACTGCTCACTCATTACTAACAGTGGAAAAAGCCATTGACAAATCCCCTCTTTTTGTTCTATCACACCACCAAGCTTCTTCCAGCCTGTTAAACCTGTTTCATGATCAGACTTGGTAAAAAGCATTAACCCAACTCAGGAACTTTTCTCAGTGAGTTACTCATCATTCACCCAAGCATGTCTCAACCAGCAAAGTAGTATGTCAGGTTCTTAGGAGACAGGAATGTTTCTAATGATTTACAGCTTTTCATTGTACCCAAGTAGAAACCACACTTTTTTCTCCACATTGTGATAGAAAAGGGTCCTTTTTAATTATGCCCCGCAGTCCTTTTGCACGTAACGCTCCCATTGACGTCAATGAGATTTACGCACGTGGAAGTCATGCAGAATCAGGTCATTTCTGACTAGTTGTTAGTCTGTATCATGTAGCAAAGCAATGGCTGAAAAACAGGGTTATCACTCCTATTTTTTTTTTTTAATAGGTGACAGTGAATGGTAGGCAATGGAGGAGGTTTGGCTAATGAAGGGTTAAAGCCACAAACAAACAGTACTCAGAAGAAAGGATACATGTAAAGAGATTTTAAAGCATTATGAAGATCAAGACACAACAGAATGTAAGTGAAAGCTTGCAACAGTTTGTCGCCATCTAGAAACAGGTTTCACTTTAAATTTATTTTGCTATGGGAGACTGCTCATCTGAGAAATGTTAAGTAAGATATTTCCAGGCAAAACATTACTCCATCCTATCCCTATTCATATGGTGGCTTTTGGGTGATTTTAATATTAAAAAAGAAAATTAGAAGAAACTGCATTTGCAAAACTGCCCTCAGACATGCACATATCCTCTGCTAGTGCTAGCAGGCATCCACTGGCAGCAATAGGATTTAATCTTTCCAGATTTCTTCTGGTTGGTACCAGAAGATAACAGTCAAAGATGGGACAATATTTTCAGACACAGACACCAAAATCTTTTACTTAAGGTCCACATTTTAGGATGAGGTCTTTGAGGTAAAGATCTAAGAGTTTTCATTTCTAGGTAAGCTCTCATTGGTATCTATGTTAAATCTGACTGTATCTATATCTTTTCTATTTAATGACAGCTACATGAATCCTCCAGGCACGGGAGACATCTGCAGCTTGCAGAGACTGGAGTAGCTTCATGTACATCAGAGAGGTTTTACAGATTAACACTGACTGAAGAACTTGCTGCTTGAATTCATGCTCCTTACAGTGCCTGATTGCTAAACAATTATTTTCAGACACTTCCAAAATCTGCCTCAGAAAAAGAATTTACTAATTATAGCAAAGCAACTGTGCCAGGCACTTAATGGACTTTTGACTCCCTGCTTCTTGGCCTGTCACCACTCCAAAAAAACACATTATCCCATAATGGCAGTGCCAAAGGCAGAACAGCTGAAGGCTTTGAGACCTTGCCGTAATGCCTTGGCTCTTTACGGGACAATTCCCGAGCCCAGCACTACAGTAAGGAGCATACAGACACCACCAGGCCATAGGAATGTCAAGGCACAACAGACTCTCCCATCGTCTCTCCAGCATCACTCTTCCTCCTACCCTGCTATAGCCCCTTGGGAGAAAAGAGCTATGGCAGTCCCACCACTGCTCCCCGAACAGCAGCCATGTAGAGAAACCCAAATAAATAAATGCAACATCTCCAGAGTAACTTATTCTGACTTTCTTTTCTTTTTGTGTGTTTGTGTGCACACGTGGGTACACAACCTGTGCAACATGATCCAGCCATTGCTGGTTAAAGGGATGATTCAGTTCAGTATCCATGTGATAACCCTGCACTGATTCCAATGAACAATTTCCACTACAAAAATGCCAAGCAGCCTCCCATTTTTGGGCTGGGAAAGCCACATTCCTGCTGCAACAAGAATCTGAACAAAGAGGCTCGTGCCACTTCTCTGCATGGCATGGAAAGCAATCCTTCAGCAAGACTGAGAGATAAAAACACACTGCATGCCAAAGTCAAAATTTCCCATGTGCTGGTTAACAAACATCTCTTTCTTTTTTTGCAAGACAAGAAATGGATTAAATCTTTGCAACAAACAATATAATGGCACCTGCAAGTTCCCCTGGCACCATTATCTCCTGAGAGCAGATCACATCTTCACCCCTCTGCACTCAGCAAAGAGGGGCTGGGTCTGCTGCTTCAGCCCCAGGTGCGACAAACACAGGCTGATCTGAGAGAGCAGAGGTAACCCCCCCATTCCCTGGCAAGCAGCAGAAGCAATGTGAGCTGTTTCCTCTGAAGATTATACATGCTCTTATCACCACTGTGACTCCTCCTCTGGTGAAGTCTTTGAGAAGGGTTCAGAGGAGGCGACATATTTCAACAACGTGGCTGCAAGCCTTCCAATGCGTCAGAGCAGGCAGACTATTACAAGTGACTTATCTCGTGGGGTTTTGTTCAGTGGGGGAGTAAAGGGCTCTCCCATTCTCTGCCAGACCATGTCTCCTCAGAGAGATGTCTCTTGGAGAGGGCAGCGAGGCACTGTGCAGGTCCTGCCTGCACTGGCTTTGGGAGGAGTGGGAAGTGAGAGGCTGTCATTCCACCACTGCTGGCAGAAGCTGGTCCCTAGCAAGGCTTCCTACTGCTGCTGCCTAAAACTCTGATAAGGGACTCTCTTGACTACTTAAACCCAAAAGCAAGTCTTCAGAGAGGATGGGGGAGCAGATCAGCCTCTGCTTCCTAGCTCTGGAAATGGGAAGCAACACCAGCTTAATGGTTTCTGTGTCCACTCTTCTCTTTTCCCGCTGTAGCTGAGCAACAGCAGCTGCTTTTTTTAGATGTATTGAATCCCATGTTATTTGGGAAAATGGGAAGGAGTTGTCTTCTATAGAGCCAGGACTGACAGCAGACTGAGAATGGCTTTTGCCTCACTCTGAGCATCACAAAACCAAGTAAAGCATATTATTTGAGACTAAGAAAATAATTGAAGGTAGCTTAAATGAAGACAGCTTGCAGGCAGAAGTTCAGGGAGCAGATCCTGTGCTTGAGACTGAAGCAAAAGGCACCCAGAGTGAGCTCCTTTTGCTGACACTGTCCCACTGGGATATGAGGGGAGGAACTAGACAGTTCCTCTGAACATGGCACACAGGTCCTGCACTGAACCTGCTTCAGTTCCCAGCACAGACCTCCAAGGATGCTGCTTAGCCCTCTCCCCCCTAAATCTCAGTTATGTCCATTGCACAGGAACACCCTTGTGCAGGGCAGTACCAGCATGGCACTGCCAGGCAAGGCTGCCATGTTGGGAATACCACAAAAAGTTGCTGGATCTGTCCCACACCACCCAGTCCTCTGGCATTTACAGCCCACAGCAGACCTAATGAGTTAAATTCTCACTGAAACCTTGCACCTCGTGACTCCAAAGCTGCCAATGTCTGAAAAAAACACTTCAAAAGCCAGAGCTGCCTCCCCCCAAGATTATTCACTGCCTCCAAAACACATCCAAGCTTCAGGAGGCAAAGCTCGAACATTAGTGGATGGTGTGTGGGGCGCAGGATTGGCATGTCTGAACGCACACTGCAACATTTCTGGTTGGGATGGGCAGTCTCCCCGGGCACTAACACCACAGATCAAGAGCAGAAAGCTTTCATGCAGACTAAGATGGTTACGTGCAAAGCAAGAAGGTGAAAGGTCCAAGTACCAGGTCAAAGGTTGCCTCGAGCGGTCGCTTCAGTGATCTGACAGCTGGCTGAGTCTTAATTAGCAGGCAGCGAGCACATGATGGCAATGGGCCAGGGAGGGGGGTCAAGCACAGTAACAAAAACAGCAAGCAGAGGTGTGTCAAGAGAGAGCAACAATTTGGGGAGGCGAAGAGAAAAAAAAAAATAAAAAAAGTGAATGCATTATACAATATATTAAAAAGACGAGGCATGCACAACGTGGGGTGGCTGGGTAATTACCTGGCCTAGTGGCTACTCAGCTATTTTGCCTCGGTAAGTTTTAAAAGTAAAGAAATGTCATCACAGGACATGTGCTTTAGGGCTTGGTCGCGGCGGCCGGCACAGCGGGTCAGGAGCGCTCGGGGATCAGCACCTGCAGGGGGACTTGCACTGGGCCGCAGCCCCAGTGCTGCAGCTACAGCCATGCAGGGGCCAGCAGAGCGCCCGTGGAGAGGGAAGGACCACCGGACACGGAGGGAGCTTCAAGCACGTGCTTAAGTGCCATCCTGAACTGGGGACCGAGCCTGGCCCAGTTCATCCAGCGCTGCACTGACTTCAGCCAAGCAGGAGTGACTAAAGCTACTACTTGTGCATGTCAAGTAACTGCAGGATCGGGCCCCTCAGAAATTCTGAATTTAGATTTGAAGTCATTCCAAATCTGCTTTTAGAAGGTACACCCTTTGTCTGTCATCTGTATTTTGGTCCAAGAAAATGGGGCACCACTCTTCCCATTATTAAAGTCTTACACCTCAACAGGTACAGTAAATGCATCAAACCTTGAAAAGTCGATAAATAATGTAGGCTGTTTTGGTAGCGGGGTGATGCAACAAGCCATCAATAAATATTTTAAAGGTTCTACTTAACAGCATACAAATAAGGTTAATTACATTTTTAAGAGAAGCCAGCAGCATGAATAAAACATGCACTGGCTTTGGTTAAATAGCAATGTCCTAGATAATTAGTGAAAAAATAAAGATTCAATTGTAAAAAATACAAGAGTTTCATTTCAGAAGGTTATTTTTCAACAGACTGGGTTCTTATTTCAACAATAATAAAAACAATCAGAAAACTAATAAATAAACTCTGCAGGACAAATAAATACTGCAGTATAAATTGGTTCTTCAAATTATATTCCAGGTAATACTGATGATACAAGGAGGGCACTTGTTTAATTTCTAGAGTTGCCCTGGTTTTGCATTATGCTTCACCACGAACGAAAAGCAAATTCCTCCACTATCTTAAAAAAAAGGTATTTAGAAAAATTTTGGTAGCCTCAATTCTAAATCAAAGAGGAGATGAGCCTTTTTAATATTAATTTAAAAAAAAATTTAAAAAGTCACAGAACAGATGAGGTTGGAAGGGACTTCTGGAGATCAGCTAGACCAAAATCCTGCTCAAAGCAGGGTCAATTAGAGCAGATTCCTCAGGACTCCATCCAGGCAGGTGTCTCCAACAATGGAGATGTTGTAGTGTTTGATCTTTCTTTGGCAAAGAATTTTTTTCTTATGTTTAAATGAAATGTCCTGAATTTCAATTTGTGCCATTGTCCTATTCACTGGACATCACAGAGAAGAGTCTGCCTCCACCTTCTTTACATCCTGCATCAGGAATTTATACACATGGTTAAGAACACCTGGACCTCCTCTTCCCTCCCCAGCTCCCTCATCTCTGGAATAAACAGGTGCCATTAAACCAAACTCAAAAAAATGGCACACTCCAGCTAAGAGCTTCATCTGGCAAGTCTTCCTTGACTCATTTTCAGAAGTGTAGATATAGACACAATTCAAATTAAAGTGCAGTAGGACCACTTCTAATAGGTCCAAAGCATCAAACAAGTCAGGAGGTCACCCTTGGTTTGTGTCTTGCAATTTCACTAAGCCTTGGCAAAGGTATCAGGCACAAGTTTGTTAAGCTCAAACAATTGGTATATTTTCTGCTTTTAAGTGGAAATTTTGCTACTGACTTGAACAGGCCAGGATCTCCCTGAAAAGGATCTGTAATAGGATGGGCAGTCTTTGCTTTCGTTGTGTACTGAGGAAACCGAACTGACCCCTACGACTTAGCCAAGGAAGGTTCCAAGTGCTGTTGCACTTGCATTCATGTCACATCACAATGTCATGTCAGAAAATCACTGGGTTGGTCACCATGTCCCTACCTGGCGAGATGTACTGTGCCACTGAGGGTTTCATGCTGTGGTGAGCACAGAGAAAGGATGAAGAGATGGGATGCATCTTGCACATGCTCTCGGCTCTCTAGTCAGCCATTTACAAAGCTCTCTACTTTTCCACAAACAACACATATGACACGTGAAATCTCTTAGCAATAGAATTACAGCCTGAGAAGAGCTCTACTTACCATTGCAGCTGCAGCTGTCTGGTTCACCTGGTGTTGAGCTGCCTTGATTTTGGCTTGCAGGTGTGCAGGGGGATGAAAGTACTTGCATTTCTCCCTAGAGCATCGACCTTTGATGTAATCCATGCAAACTGTAACAGTATTTTCATTTGTGTCTATCATTGCAATATCTATAGGGTGAGCATAGCGGCAATCATTCTCACCACGTGTGCAATTTCCACGCTGAAACTCTCGACAAACCTTAAAAGAAAGTCACATCATTGAGCAGAACATCAAGTTACTCTTCATTCAGTATTTTCAATACAGAATATCAGTTCAGTTGGCCACATTAAAGCACATATGTATTCTAAATCCATGCTCATCTGGGGTAGCACATATACCAACAGTCACAGGAGCAACTGGTACTACTCACAACTGCTTCAGAGGATGAAAAAAACCACAACGTTAATAAGGCCAATTACCAAATGCAAGTGAAATACAGAATTTGTGCAGAATCAAAGTGACCCCATAAAGACAATGTCATTTTGACAAAACTTTGGATGCTCAGGATTCCTGCTATGCCTCTAAAGCTTAAATGTTAATAACTTTGCCATTTATGTCTCACCTATATTATGTATTTGTTACGGAGTACACTCTTGGGTAGGACATTTAATTCTAAATGTTACATGCTGCTGTTATTTGCAACAAGTGCTTTTTCTTAAATATGAGGTGCCTCTTTCACATAAATAGTCTACTGCCCTTCACAATAAAACCCCAACCCTGGCATTACATGACAGCACACAGTGTTTTTGAAGGTGTTGCCAAAATTACTAGTTTTATTAAGATCTTGCAGCTCCTCTTAAGTTACGACCACTGAAGCATCAGAGGCAGAGGAAAAGGTTTCACAAAATGGATCTGCAAGGTTTCCTTGTCTGAGGAGCTGAGAGAAGCTGTTGAGTACTACAGCTAGTGGTGCAAATCACATACCAGGGCACTATCAGACTGAGTGTGGAGAAAGGTGAGACATCAGCAAGGCAAGATAAAGCACATAACACAAAACAATGTGTTTTGAAATTACACCCTTCTCCACTACCTTCCTGTGTTATAATTTACACCTGCGGGGGCCTCTGAATTCAGGTCCTCAGCCCTTATCTCCTGCAGAGCCTCCGCTTAGGGTTTCAAAGAAGTTATAACTCCTCTAACACTAAGTCCCAGCACGCCCAGCCAACTGTGGGGGGAGAGATGTCTTTCCAACACCCCCCCCCCAGCACTCCCATCTTAAACCTTTCTGTAAAAGCCCATCTCTAGACAAGGGAAGCGACTGTTACTTCTAAAACATCTCCTACTCAATCTAAGAGCGGATCGCCTACTTGCATTTTTTTTTTGAAGTGTGGCAGATTACACACAAAAAACAATCGGAACCCTGCTCTAACATCCAGTGAAGTCAGAAGAGTAAATTCTCCCAAATTTCCAAGGATTTGGGATCAGGCCCCCGAAGAGTCTGCTCTATCAGACAGCAACAGCCCTGTGTTAGGAAAGCTGCAAAATAAGCTGCACTGTGCTGCATCAGGTCATTCTAGGAGAGAGCAACAGCTGGGAGCACATGTCCCGTTCATCCCTGTCAGCAGTATTGTATCACATGTCCAAATACCTCCAGTTTATCCGTACGCATCAGTTTCTGCCCGGCAGAGCCTCCTGGTACTGTAACAGTGGGATTTCCGGAAACCAGGACAGGAGTATTTGGTAAAAGCTCTGCAGGAACCAAGCCCATCCCAGGAGAAACATGACTCAGGTAGGGACTGAAAGCCATCGTGGGGCTTGTTGCAAGCGATGGAGTCACAGGAAATGTTGTCTGTGTATGGAAAGAGGAAAAACAAAGTATTAGTTAAAAAGCTGTCTTGGATTACCCATCAAAGCCTTGCATCGCTTCAATCCTTTTAGACAATTTGATTAGACACATCAAAATGCTGTGCTCTCCAATCTCTTCATTTATCGCCATTTATTTGTGATCCATTCGCTTCTCCTGACTCACACATTTGTGACTCATCCTGAATACAAGGCATCTTTATTTGTCAGATCAAAGCGTATTGATGATCTTTATAGTTTAATGACACAATTAAGGATTTCATACCAGCAATTAGGGTAGGCCCAAATTAAACAGACTTCTCATTCCCAAATAAATGTCTCAGCTTCTGTATGTCTACACTGCAATGCTGTAGAGAGACTCCAAGGCAAAGTGCAGGACCTGGAAGCAGGTAACCCCATCAGCTGCATAGCTGAATTCACCACCAGCCTGCCCCAACCTCCGTGTCAGCATGGCTAGTGTGGCTCAGCTAGACAAAAGGGATAATTTAGAGTCAGGGACATATCTCTGTTGAGATATGCCTGGTGGTCCAGCACCCTGCACATCTGGGGTTGGCTTCAGACTGCCAACAGTCCCCAGGCAAAAGCCATTTTGCAGGAGTATCCCACACTTACACTCCACATGAATGGTATCAAGAAGACATCAAACTCATTAATGTCACAATGTTCCAGACCTCATGGCTTTAGCAAGAGCAAGGTGAGTCTTAGGCTTGGAGGTACCACGGTCAGAGTGTACAAGATGAGGTGGCTCAGGTGGACCAGCACAAGGTCCAGGACCCCACCTATGCTGCAAGAGCAATGAGGAGATAGAACAGGCCAAAAAGATCTTGACTACTTCAGATCCCTGCACTGTGTTAGTCAGACCCTCAGATCACAGCAGAGCTTCAGCAAGGAGCTGGCTGGCCAGAGCCACGTCCCTGGCCTGAACAGCTCCAGCAGTGCTGGCCTGGGAAAGGAGCTGCTGCGCTGCCAGGCAGGCCAGATCACACAAGGCTCCTAAGCAGATGCTCAAAGTCTGTGAGTACTCCTACAGCCAGGGAGTTTGTGAGACTTTAAAGCACCAGATCCAAGGTACATTTGGGAATTAAACTAATTCCAGTTGATGAAAAATTCCCCCTGCCCCCCACTGAAGACCAGAGCTTGCATAGCAGCACTCCTGCTCCTCTAGCAGGGGCTCAAGCTGCTCCCAGTGGAAGCAGCCTGAGACTTGCAACTATTTTTATTTTCCCTCCTGTCACCTGCTCCACTGTGAGCTCTGGGTTCCCAGTTAAAGCTGCTCACATTTGTGGGTGTACATGATGCCAACCTTGGGAGCTACAGTCTCTACTTGGCAATAAATACACATGTGCTTACGCAATGGCCTGGGGCAATTTTTTGGCCACACACATCACTCCCTCTTTGCTTTTAATTTGGTATTTCTGGTCCTGTGGGCTTCTAAAGGAAACCGGACATGGACAGTGTGCTCCTCAACAGCGTCTTGATCCCAATACTTTCATACTTGGCTTGTTGTGATGTAGAAGAAGTGGAGTGCACAGCAACACCAGCCAAACTGCCCTAACACAGCTTTAGCTAAACGATGCCCCTTTCTAAGGTCAGTGACAGAAGCAGCTCCTGAGCTGGTGGCAAATGGAATGACAGGTCACTGCCAGAAAACGTCCCACTTTCTTCTCCTGAGTGAGGAGACATGGCCTCCTGCATCATTGGTGCCAGATGCTTTAAGTGTAGCAGAACTAAATAATTCTCTCTCTGGGAGCGATTTACAATTTTCTTTCTTTTGAGCCCAAGTCAAGCACTGCTTCAGCTGTTGGGAGACTTTAGCCATTAAATCTAGAGACCCTCCAATCCACAGCCCTTTATTAAATAATTTTCTTCTCTCTTTCAATTCTCTGCGGCTCCCAGACATTTTTCACCTTTTCCTGCTATAAAAGCTCTTTAGGATTTTCAAATGCTGTGACTCCTTGAACACTTTAGTGAGAAGGCAGCATCCATTAGACTGTTTTCTTTTGTGTGAGCACCAGTAATTACAGTGGTATCTGCTGAACTTCTGTCACCATTCACACTGCAAATGCTATTTTAAGGAGCTTCTCTAGCTTGGCCTGTCTGCACAGGGTTACACTGGGGCCTGAAACGTTGTCAGCACTTGTTTTATGTACCCATAGTAGCCCAAACTTACCAGTATATGTGCCTTGCACAAATTTACCATATGCTTCTCAGCACCTAATACAGCAGGAGTATCCTGACTGTGCAGGCGTGACACAAACATTGCTCAAAAATTTCAGGAGATCCTTTGCAGCAGGCTTCTCCTGCCTGGGCTCACACACAACCAGCAGCCAGCCCAAAGACCTCCTGGTTTCTGAGACAAAGGGGAGATGTTCTTCCCTCTTCCCACTGCTGAAGCAGAGGGTGCCAGGGCAGACTGGCAGCTTGCAATGCCTCACATTGAGTGAATTCACCAGAAACCGGTGGGAAGGGGTGAGAAACATTCACTAAGAGATAATACAGCAGCCTCTCCACCAAAGCCACAACTAACTGTGAAGCTGGTCCTGCTCCCTGAAACACAATCCCCATCTCCAAGGCCACTCCTCAAAAGCAGCCCCTCTCCTCACTGGGAGCAATCAGCAAGAGCCAGTGGATCCGAACTGAACCCAAGTCAAAGCAAGCAGAGAAAAGAGGTCCACGAGGGAACAACAGGGGAGTACAATCTACTTGCAATCCTGAAGACCTGCAGAGGGGCATGTGAAGGAGCAGTATGTGTTTTTATTGGTGCCGCTGTTTGTTCACCCATTTCCGTGCCCTGACATCTGCTGCCGCATTCCCAAGGTTTCACAACTGCTCCTTCTGCCCGCCCGCACCATGTGCCTGCTTCTCCGATTGGAAGTGACAGTTCTGCTCCACACCCTGCCCGCGGGCAGGGGACTCACACTCGGCAGCCAAGCGGGTGTGCAGCCAGAGAACAAGCAGACCTCACTCAACACATTAAACCTAGAAGCACTGGGGTTTTAAGTCTGGAGAGTGCTAAGCACTCTGGAAACTGCTCCTTTGTGAGCTGGCACCAGGGAGCTCTGTATTTATTGTGGCTGATGAGGGGAAAAGATGGGCTGTGCTCATTGCCAGACCCGGCTGCCTGTCTTGGATTGGGAAATCCAGTCTGGCTCATGCATCAGTACCAGTAATAAGGATGCTGCCAGCCAATTCTCTCCTCTACGTCTGTGCAGGTCTCCCATGTCCTGAGGGAATTCGAGCAAATTTCTGCCTTGCAGCCAGAACCCAACTGTAATTTTTACTCCAAACAGTACTGCTCTCCTCAATGTTTCTTGGGTCCACCTCTTGCGATTGCTGTGCTGGTTTTGCCTGCGATACAGTTAAGTTTCTCCATGGTAGCTGGTATGGGTCTGTTTGGGATTTGTGCTGGAATCAGTCTTGATAATTCTGGAGTGTTTTTGTTACTTCGCTTATGGAGAGTCAGGGGTTTTCTGCCTCTCACCCCACCCACCAGCGAGTTGACTGCAACAGGAGCTGGGAAGGGACAGAGCTGGGACAGCTGACCCCAAGTGACCCAAGGGATATCCCAGAACATATGGCATCGTGTTCAGCTTGTAAGGCTGGGGAAGAAGGAAGTAGGGACATTTGGAGTAATGGCATTTGTCTCCCCAAGTCATCGTTATACATGATGGAGCCCTGCTCTCCTGGGGAAGGCTGAACACCTGCCTGCCCTTGGGAAGTGGTGAATGAATTCCCTGGTTTGCTTTGCTTCTGTGTGCAGCTTTTGCTTTACCCATTAAACTGTCTTTATCTCAACCCGTGAATTTTCTAATTTTTACCTTTCCCGTTCTTTCTCACATCCCACCAGGGGCTAAAACACAACTGTACACAGCCAGGAGACCTGACAGAGTAATACTGTGACTGTACACTAAAAAAACAAACTCTCAATTTCACTGCTGGCATGCTCTAGGGTAAAACAGAGGGATTGAAAGTATCACCATTTACACCTGCTGCCCTGTTTAAACCTTTTGCAAATTCATGAAATACAGGGACAGGCTTCCCTGCAAATTAACTTTTATTAACTGTAGGACACAGACACTGCCAGTAACTCCTCAGCAGAGGGAAACAGGTTACAGTGCAGCAGCAGGAGGTTCAGGCTGGTAGCAGCTCACAAGACTGGTTTACTGAGTATGAAAATCCTTGTAAGAATAATAATAGTAAAAAAAAAGCTGAAATGGCTGTTGTCAGAATACATCTCAGGGGGAGGGTTGCCAAGGACTTTGACAGCTCTGAGCTCCAATCCCAAGCATGGAAGCCATTGAGTTGACGGTGTGAGCAGAGAGAAGGCACCATCCCAGACAGGGGTATTTGTCACCACTGGTGGTGACAGAACCTGGAATAGCTGATTTTGTTAACAAACTAGAAGTTGCATTCAATTTGCCTAGCAGAAATTGTGCTAAAACTAGAGAAGAAACACAGAGTGGGTGTGAAGAGGAAGGCAGAGGAGCGGCTGGTGTTTTGTCAAACACAAGCGCCGTCTCAGCCAGGAAGTGTTGATTCTGAGCTACCTCAGACCCTAAAAAGGGAAAGCCTGAAAATGAGAGACCTACTGTAAATATGGAGGTGTTGATGGCCTGAAGGAGAGGAGACAGGTCATTGCTAAGCAGCTATGCATGGAGAGCACACAAAAAACAATGGCAGCTTACAGTCTGGTGATAAAAATGATGATAAAGAAGCTTGTACTGACAAGATTGAAGACCCTGATATTGAAAACATAATTAATGCTCTAAGAAAAAACAAAAACTTGTGTTCCCCTCCAATGTAACTGCACGGGGCTGGCTGCAAAAATACCCTCCCCTGTGAAGGCTGAGCATGCTGGAATGAATCCGAACAGACAAAAATCCAGCTACCTACCACCACAGATGCTCATTTCCCCAATCAGACTGCAAAGACACGCTCTTAGCTCAAAGGATCTCTCATTTGTGGGCTGCTCTAGTGTAAAAGACAGGAGTTAACACCCAACAGCACTGTCTCTTGGCAGATACCAGCTCCTGGGTGGGCCAGGGCATGTGTTTATTCATTCCTAGTGTGCCTTTGACTAGAGGCTGAGATATAGATCAGATTTTTGCTGCATGGAACAAATACCTGTGCAAAGCACCTGTTGAAATCAGCTCCAGCACTTGTTCCAAGCATCGCTGGCCAAGCAAGTTGTTCACCCTCTGCTTTAACCCCTCCATCAGCACCAAGGAGCGGCAGCAGGAACCCACTGCCCCAGGAGGGAACCAAGGGTTGGATTAAAGTCTGGGTTGTCTTCAGAGGCATGGGTGACTCAGAGCTGTCAGGATAGTCCTGGCTACAAAGACCTTGACAGGAAGAAAAGATGAAGAGCTTGAAAACAAAGAGAGAGGAAACAGCTTCCCCAGGCAGCAGCAGAGGCAGCTGCAGGGCAGGTGAGTCAACAATGCTATGCTCCATCAACAGCATGTTTGGGCACTAAGGGGGCAGCACCTGGCAAACCACTGCCCTGCTCCACCATGTCAATTAGGACCCTGTGCTAAATAACCTCCGTGGCCACCTCCTAAAGTCTGTATCACACTGCTGCAAAGGGATAAAGCAGAATGGAGTGTGCACTAGGCCCAGGGTGCAGCACTTTTTGAGCAATCTTGCATTAGTGAAACAGGGCACAAAGCGACCATAACTGAGTCACCAGACACAACATTGACCAAAATGGCTCTTCCTACCAATGCCAGAGCCCGGCCCTATCCACCTTCAACACGACTTTAAGAAGTCTAGCAGAAACAGAGGCAAAATCAGCCTAGAGAGCTTCCAGCACATATCCACCAAAACCAGCCGTCAAAGTGAATTTGGAATTTTGGAAGGCAAAACTTTTAGTAGAATCTTCCTACCTGACACCTACATGGTCCCTCCAAGGTCTCTCCCAGACAAATACACCATGCTAAGCAAACACTGTGTTCTTGCCTGACTCATTTTAAAGTGCTGCATGAAGCAGTCTGTTCAAAAATGCATCACAGGCACCCAACACACACGTGATTCTCAGCTCTACACGAACGGTGAGCAGCGACATCAGAGAGCAATCAGAAACTTCAGAGAAATTAGACCATGCCAGCAACCACTAATTCACACCTAGTAGGGTCCTCTGCGCAGCGTACAGGAGGTAGCCCTCCGGGGACATGGCTCTCTCATGAGAGCACCTTCATTAAACAGCCACCACCATCAGGGGCCTGGCTCTTGGCTCAGCAGAAAGATTGGCTCCTCCTGGACAGCAGCAGTGGTGCAAGATCTGGCAGTCAATGTTTAGACACAAGATTATAGACAGACACATTGAAGACCATTTCAGGAAGAAATGTGTCAAGTGCTGGTTTGGTTTGTTTTGGGTTTGGTGGGGGTTTTTTGTATTTGGTCTTTTTTTTTTTTTAATATGGTAGCTTTTCTGTTGAAAATGCACTTTAAAATGTCTAAGCATTCAGCTATTGTTTGGAGCTATTAAGCACGCTGTTCCAAATCCCGTCCCTGGCAAGCATCCCAATTAAGCAGGCATCTCGTTGATCAGCTTTCTGATCACATGGGATTTGTTCTGCTGCTGCATCTGATACAATACTTTCCGCTTTGAAGAATTTCTTGTGCAGCCAGAAGGAGGCCCCACCCTTCTCATTTAGAGAGAAAAAAAATTCTCAAAGCCAGCTTCCACTGACAGCATCTTCGGGCAATCAAAGGCAGTCAAAAGAGCAACCTCTTGTTTGTCCTGAAATTGGTGTGGAGCAAGTTGGGCAGCAGGAATGAGACCATGAGCTCGTTTACTCTGAGCAAAGTGTGGGAAAGCAGGAAGGGAGAGCAGTCATTGCCGAGCAAATTTCTATTTTTCTTCTTTGCCCATGTCTCCCTCATGGCACAATTTAGAAACCAGGGACCTTTCTCATCAGATAAGGTTACCTCTGAAATGAGAGCACTAACCAGACAAACCGACACATTCAGTCTCAGAGGTAATTTAAAAGGCAGGAATGAAATTCAGGAGTGTACTGGACCTGCAAGATTGCAAAGTGGGAAGGTGGGAACTTTGCAAAGAGGAAATCCCAAAGATGTTTCGAATAGCCAGCCAAAGACTGTCCACTAAGAATTCCCCACAGAGGAAAACCCCAAACAGGAAAGGTTTGCTTTTGGTACAGGACTTGGAAACCAGTGCTACTATTTTGTGGGAATTCAGGATTTCCTTCTGATGTGCACATACTTTCGAACACCACAAAAAAGAGGTGCAAAGACTACAGTAGATTAGAGCCTAAGGCACAGCACAACTAAAGACTTTTTCTGTGGCCAGTTTTCTGCCTCATTTTTCCATCTTCAAAATGGGAATAATAAACAGCATTTTCATAGCTTACATTGCAGGGCCAAGATAAAGCTGCTAATGGACGCACAGGATGGTCAGAGTGACGGTGAAGGTGAAAAAGCCCCCAAAAGACAGGAGGAATACGACACACTGAGGCAATGATCCGGTCTGGTGGCAGAGCACCATCATGGACACTGGCCACCTTTCCCTGCTGAAACACAGCTCCACCACAAGCACTTACAACAAACATCACAACAGCCTCCAACAAGGAAGAACCTTTCACCGGTCTCCGGTGAGAATAAACCAGAGACAATTGAGCTTTTCAAAGCTGGGGTGACATATTCTGAGTTCCACTCAGGCAGGGAAGCCAGGCACTGTCGGTGGGACACCAGGCTGGTTCATAGTGCACACCTTCAGGCTAGAAGAGCTTGTCCGAGCAATCCAACCAGTCCTCTCCAGCCTGTGTGGCACAGCACCCAACAATGGCACATCAAGAGCACATTGCCCCAGGAAAGATATTCAGCCCCAACTTTAAACTGAGAACTCCTAATTAACTCTCAGTGCAGCTTATTCATGTCAGCACGGAAGAGCTGCTTCAAGACCTCTGACATTTCTTAAAATATACATTGTTGACAGCCTAAAACTCAGCTGAGAAATGTCACCCCCTCTCAGATACACCAACCAGCCATCCTCTACCTGCTGTGACAGGGTTCTCCAGCCTGAAAACCTGTTTTAACTGACAGGCAAAACCAGGGACAGGCAGTGAAGGCTTCTCTGAACTACCTGCTCTGCAAACACCTGTCTCCCACAGGCTTCCCTTCCTACCTGAAGAGAGGCAAATCTTTCCTGCTCTTAATATAAAACACCATTACTGTGAAAAGCAAGTGACAGGGCTGTGACATTAGCTGGGCTGTGACAAACTCTCTGCTGGGACAACAGCAGTGAAATAGGTCTCACTCCCAGAAATAAAATGTATTAAGGTCTGGGTAGGATTCATCTTCTCCAGTTTTAGTCTACCAGTACAACATATCTAGTCCAGGCGAGTCAGCCCCATCCTCCCAGCGTAAAACAACTATCCGAAATAGGATCCACTGGCATTGAGCCACTAAGAGCTTCTGGGATGTACACTAACTTGTCAAATATGCACATGGTGGTAAGACCCTCCCACTTGATCACCTGATTCTCAATTACCAGAGGAGAGACACAGCTTGCGAGGAGATGGAGAGGCAGCATCAGACAGCCCTCTGGGGAATTCTGCCCAACCCTGTGCAGGACAGACCACTGCCTGAGCTCAAGCACAGGGCTGGGGCCTCTGTGAGCAAACAGAGAGAGCAGCATGTACCCGACAGATCCACTGCTGGAACTTACAATTGGCTGTAGCTGCGCGCCCGGGAGCATGAACTGCATCTGCTGAGCAAACATGGCTGCGGCCGTCTTCTGCTGGATCAGGTTGTTGCGTCCATTGATTTCAAGTTGTGTTTTTAAGTGTGGGGGAGGGTGGAGATATTTGCAGTTCTCTCGGGTACACCGGCCCTAAAAAACATAACAGAACAGCATTTCAGTGGATGTAACACTCAGGGCAGCCGGAGAAATTTAATTAAGGGTTGTTTGGGTTACTGGAACGACACAATCATCGAGGTGGAGGCAGCATGGTAGCTGCTGTGCCTCTTTCGTGATTCTTCTCTAACAGGTGAAGAGAAGAGCAACGTGACTTCTCCTGCAGTAACACTAAGTGAATACTATCAAGCTAAACCCAAAAATGAGGCTTCCTGATGTTAAAATGATTGTTGTAAGAAAAAATCCCAAACAATCTAATGCAAACACCAATATTTTCAGAAGCTAGTGGCAACAGTTCCAGAAACAACAACAAAAATTCCCTGTTTCCTTGAGTGGGTTGTTTTTCCCCTCCTTCCCAACACCAGACAACTCAATTAGCCCTGACAACCAGACAGCAAGAAAAAAAAAACTGTCTCCACCACTTCCCCAGCTGTGCTGGGTAAAACATTAAGAGGACATCTCTGTAAAGCAGCACCTCTGATCCATAACACACAGGTAACCCAAGATGCAGAGAACTGGCAGTCACAGGAGGAAGAACTGAAACCACTTTCCCCCTTCTTGTTTTCATTTGTCAAAAGCTATGGTATGTTGCATCACTGACTCCTTCCCCCCTGCAATAAACATAAGCACTGGAGGTGCCAGTGGCTCCTAAAGACCAAGGCACCACTAATGTGATCACTGCAAAAAACATCTGTAAACTGTGCTTTGCTTTAAAAGAATTTGCAAGCAGATGTAAGAAGATAAATATCAACAGCTTGCTGAATAAGAAAGCTAGTAACACATTTTGCCATTAAGATGAAATAATTCTTGAAAAGTAAGGATTACCCGCCCCTTTCTTTGTGTATTCCCTCCTCAAGAAACAGAGGCATACACAACACATAAAACACTTAATGTAACTTCAGCGTTATTTATAAAACTTCTACTTAAAACTGGTGAATTTTTTTTTAGGAACAAATTCTCTGGAGCTATTCAGAACGTATTAAAATAACACCAGACCCGGAGGTCACAAAGCTGTTCCATGACAGATAACTAATGGTTCCTGCAGCCAGCAAAGACACAGGACCATCCATTACCCAGCCTGTCCCAGGTACTCTCCTCAAGGGCTGGACATGGAGTTCTCAGTAATTAAGTTTGCTTTCCAAAATGGCACATCAGGTGAGCCCATGTACCTCCTCCTGTTAGCAGAAGCAGAGCTGTACAGGAACAGGCAGCAGAGCTGTAGCCCATAAAGAGGTCCATGGGGGTACAACTTTTACACACCACTGCACCCCGAGCTCAGGCAGGTGGGAACCACCTCAGATGGGCCCCTCCTGCATCCAGGATGCACCTCAGGGGATTCTTATTGTACAAACATACAGGTGGAATCACTGGACAGTCCAAGTACCACTGCACAAAGCCAACAACATGACTCACTGCAGGGGCTGGTTTTGAATCCCCTGCCAGGCTCTTGGCATGTTGGGGAAGGAGCAGGTCACTGTAGAGCAGCCTGAGACATGCAAGCTCTCCTCTGTGTGCTTTGCTCTGCCCCCTTTCCTGGTGGGGATAACAGCTTCCCTTGGGAGAGGGCTGCAGAGCTTGACTGCAGCATGAAAGGGGCTGTTTGACATGTATCATGGGAATAGGCTCCTCTCTTATCTGCTCCAAGGAGAACATAGTTAAACAAAAGGCAAATAATTAAATGCAAGAAGTGATGGGCTAGACCTACTCGGACAGGAAAAAAACACTTCCAAACTTCTGCAGCCTGCCTTTGCAGAACAAAACTCTCTGACCTGCTCCCAAAAACCCAGCTCAAAAAGAAAGGGGCTTTTTAAGGCTATTGTTTTGGCTTCTTGGCAATCCAACAGCCCCAGCAGCGAGTTAATTGCTCACAGGCCCTGTGGACGTGAATCTTCATCAAAAGACACTTTCTCACATCTGTGTGCAGTGAGGGTAAATGGCACCACGCAGCTGGCTGGTGCTCAGGCAACCCTGCACCCAGGGAATAACCACATTAATCTGGGAGGAGGAGACAGCAGCACTAGGCATGATGGGTTCATGCTCCTCATGGCATCTTTCCAGCTTCAGGGGACCAGGTCTCTCCACAGCCCTTGCCATTTCCTGGGATCCAACAAGAGCCCAGGGTTCAGCCACAGAGCATATCTGCAGCACCCAACCTCCACAGCTTCTGCGAGGCTGCTGCTGACCAGGAGCAGACCCCACAGAGCCATGGGCTGTCGAAGTCCAGGCAGCTGCTCTATTCTAGGCTCCAGCCTCCAAGGGCTTACACATCAGCCTTAGAAATTCTTCCTGGCTGTAACTTGGCACAAGTGCTTTGGGTTGGGAAAACACTAATTTCTACCAAATTTGGAAGAAATCTGTGTAGATTCTACACTGCAGGAACAGAGAAGATGAAAAAAGAACTACCATTTTTTGTAAACATTGCTTGCACAGTCATCTTCAACTTGAAAAGGACTTTGTTATTTCAAGAAAATTGTGAATATCGTTGATACCAGCAACCCCAGCTTGGTGTGAAGTTTTGTTTTACTTTTTTTCCTCAGAGCAGTTTGTTTAATTCCAACAGGGGGTTCCACAAACAGAACATTTTTACTACCAACAAAAAACCACAATACAGCACGAGGCCTTGGTCCTCCAGACAGAGCCTGTGAGCCAAAACCAGTGCCCACACAGAGCTACCCGTTTCAAGGACACATATTTGTAAGAGACAGAGCTGTGCAGATGCTGCTGCAGAGCGAAGGCTGTGAAGTGCAGCACGGCTGTCAGTCAGGCCTTCGAGGCTCCAGAAAGACTAAATGAATCACTGCTGCACTCAGATTCAAACCCACACCTTCGGCCCAGCTCCTCCTAGTCATCATTTTGATCCTGAGCATCACCAACCACTGTGTTTCAGCAGGGCGGGTTGGAAGCCACAGCTGAGTCAAGCTGCCCTCTGCAACACCACAGTAGGTTCTTCATCTCTCAGACAATGAATTTTCGGAACTGGTGATGCGACTACAAAATGTTCCCAGTTTAGACATCCAGGTATAAAACAGCTTTCAATATGTGTCACTCTATAGTGATGGGCACCACTAGTACTCCCTGAACTCCAACACTGGTAGGGGTGAGCCCTTCTTCCACATTTCCATCACAATGCCCACTGTTCTTCGTACTTCCCAGCAACACACACGCCCTTCTAGAACAACTTCAGCTCTACAAAAGCCGCCACAAGGACAAAGGAACTGCCATTTTTCACTCCTCAGTACCAGCTGCAACACAGCAGGGAAAGCAACAGGGAACTGGTAGCAAATCTGCTCTATAGACACTGGGCTGGGGACAAATAAGGACAACTCCATTTTATACCTGAGTGGCTGAGGAATGCAACAGGAGTGAGGCCCCCAAGTTTCAGATGAGCATATTTATGTACAAGCCAGTATTCCTGCAGGGACTAGCTATGGCTCCAGCACATCCAATGCTTATCACGTGGCACAAGACAGACTCTGCATGGAGACCAGCTGAGACACTCTCTAAGCTGAATGTGCACCAAAAAGCACCATCTTAGCACATGGCTGCATGTGACAAGAGGGGGCACAGTGCTCAGAGATTGATCTGTGTTGGTAAGCAGCATGCTGAGCCTACTGGGACCGGTGCAGCCATTCTCCTGTAACTGGGAGTTTGCTGCTGTTAATTCAGCTCAAGTACTGACTCCAGGGAAGGCACATTCCCACCCTGTCCCGAGTGGCACATGAGCCTGCAGCCAGGGAATCACCACCCAGTAACAGACTCTGCTGCTGGCCTTGGTAACACACTAAATATAGCTGTATTTTCTGGCTCCTTGCAAAATGGATGGAGTCTGAAGGACCATATTCATCAGCTTCTTTGCCAAATACATCCAGGAGGGAAAAGCATATGGACTGCACTTCCCAAGACTTGAAAAATGGATATTAAATATAAATCATTAAAGGATTTTATAAGAGTATCTTCTCCCCATTTCTTCCCACACACTCCCCCACCCTTACAGTAGGCTGCTGGCATGTGATTGACTCCGTGTTGCCAACTTAAGTCATGCTGTGATGGCGTATACTGTAAGTGGCTGGCATCTGACACCTGCTAACATGACAGCAGCCTGCACTGCAACAAAGCCAGATGTTTTGAGTGCAGCACTGATGGCAGCACGCTGAAATCCAGTAGGAAAACCTGGCTATCTGCTGGGCTGAGCCTTGTCATCTGCAGCCTAGCTCAGAGGGATGCAAATAAGAGCATGCTGGGTACTGCACCAGGCTGGATGAACCTACTCTAAGCACGCTGCACAAATTGTCTCCTCACTGGCTGCTCAAGTTGAACTGTGCTGCAGAATTGAGGCTTCCAACGCGAACCCAATGCTTGCACCAGTAATGCAGTTAGTTTGCTATGGTCTCTTTAATCCCAGACCCAGTGAGGGGTTCCAGACACGTGTTTCTGGTTTTAATGACTGCACTGTATGTCCTGTCAATTACCAACTGTTCTCATGTGAAAATCTTCAAGCTAATGCGGCTTTTCACACACGAGAGGCTGCAGTAGGCTTGTGCCCTGACTGTGCTGTCTTTTCCACAGACACTGATGACATGTGCAATGACTGACAGCAAAAAGAATGAAAAGAGACCAGGCAGGAAAGGATTTCCATGTTTTGCACAAAACCAGGCACCAAAACACAGCTTGTCTACATAACTTTTCTCTGCATGAAGCAGCAGATTTCCACCTCCCCAAGAGGAACCCAGTGGGGATGCACATTCAGAGATGTGCTGGCCCTGCTTACTCAGTGCCTGTCGCTCCAATGCTGAGGCATGAAACGCTCTCTGCTTTCCATCCCACTCAACACATGCACACAGAGGCCTTCTCCTAGCTGTGGATCCCCGCTCCTACCATAGCCTTGCATGGCTTTTACATTTGAAATACAACTTCCACCACCACGGTGTCTGCCCCGCATCTGGAGGGCAGGCTGCAGAACTGCCCATAAAGCATGA